GGGGATCTTGGGAGACGTCCCAGATCCCGGTGGGGCAATGCTCCCCAATAGCACTGTGAGGGACATGGGGTCCCAAATCTGTTTGACAGGCCTAGAAAGTGGGTCGCTCCCATGGAGACAGAAGTAGTGGCAGAATCTGTTGTTTTGTCTTTGTGTTTCTGGCTGTCTAGCTGTGCTGAGTGATAAAAGAAAGTGCTTAAAAAGAAAGTGCTGGAGGAAGTAAAGTTTTGTTTTTCTGTTTAAATGTATGTACGGCCATCATGGTTCTTTTTGACTAATCTTATGCTCTGTAGGTCATGGTTAATATGATCAAAAGTAATTTGGTATGTTTAAAGGTTAAATTCAAATTCTTGTTTAAAACGTATATGTGTACCTATGTGTTTATAAGGTCTATAAGCTCATATGTTTAAAAAGGAACAATATGGGTTGCCACATATGTAATATGCCTCACCACCATCTTGAAATTGCCACGTGAAATGTAATGTGACCGCCATCTTGAGATAGCCACATGTATGGGTCAGAAAAAAAAAAACCTTAGTCAAATGATTTTTGTTTCCTTCTAGACTAAAAAGATAAATTTTATTTTAAATTGGTATTGGTTTTAGAAATTAAGTTGCTTGCACTGCTGAATTCTGATTTTAAAATCTGGTTTCAATCTTTAAAATTATGGTTATGCTTTGTGACTTCTCTCCTACAAAAGGGGCACTTTATTTTGATGTTGCAAAAACAGGTTTTTAAAAAAAATGTTTAAATGTTTAAGGCTATAAAACGTTTAAAGTTTTTCAGGTATTTTAGACAATGATCTTGAGTAGTCTAACAAAAAATTTGACAAGAGTTTCTTCATCCTTTGGGGGAGAACAAAAAAACTTTGGTATTTATTTTTTTAATTTTACTAAATGAAACCGAGCCATATGGTTTGAATTAATTGAGAAAATTTCAGTTTTTACAGTGTATCTTGTGGAGAGCTGTTTCTTTGTTAAGCTGCTTTGTTTATTGAAAAACATGTTTCCACCCTGGTCTTTACCTTGAGACAGAGAAAAGAGGAAGTTTCACCAAGTTCCTTAAAACTTGTTCTAAGTTTCTTAGAATTTGTTTATGTGACCTTGGACCATCATATCTACTACAGGGAAGTAATTTTTTAAAAAAGGTGTTGGCAGTTTCAGAACTTCTTTTTGTATTACTATGACTTGTTTTCGCTTTGCCTATAAAAAATACGTCTTTAAATAAGCCCATGCTGGGCTCCAGCAGGATCATGTCAGCATGAAAAGGATTTGGATGGGAGTTTTTATGTTGTCTTAAAAGCAAGAGAGAGCAAGAGATATTTTAAAAAAAATAGCTTGTCTAGAATAAGAGTGTCTGGTTAAGCCAGAAGAACAAAGCTGGGAACCTGAAGGTATGTGGAATGTTGCAGAGGGTCAGTGTTTGTGTCAATAGCCAGAGGGTAAATATGATTTGAGGAAGAACTGTATTTAAAATTACGTTGTACTTCTTTTAAAAGGATGGTGATTCTTCATTGCAAAATGTTTTCTTATGATCTTTTAAGGGGGACAAATTCTGGCTGATAGGTTTGGTAAGGACAGAATAGTTTGTACAGTTTAAAATTCTTCTGTACTGTTATGTTATGCAGTTGGGTTTAAAATTCATTTGATCACAAAGTTAAAACTTTTGGTGATGGGAAGATTGTAATTTTAATGCAAGTTGTAGGATCAGCAAGATTTGCTAGCTTCTCTATGAACTGTATCTGATTAAAAGGTTTGCTTTGACTTTAGTTCAGAAAGAGCAGATTTAAAGTTATGCTAACAACTGCAGTTGGTTAAGATGTTGAGCTTTACCTAGTGCCTTTGTTTAGTTTTTTTTTTTTTAAGTTTAAGCCTAGGATGGGTAAATATAAAGCTTGCCTATATAGTAGATCTACTTAAAATATAGTTCTAAAACATGCATCTTAGGAATATGCCAGAACTAGAAAGTATAGCATTCTGTTTTAGAGGACACAGTTTAGAGCAGATGATGAAGAGAGACAAAGAGTAACTCAGATACGCTGGCCCTCAAGCTTGTGAGAGATCTGATGACTATGGCATTTTAACATGTATAAGCTTAATGAGACAGGCAGTCCCAAAATCCTGGCAGGAGCTCCCCCAAGGTCTCTGAAAAGATTTGAGCATGACAGATGACTGCAACTCTGGATTGTGGTATGCTAGCCACTGACCAACACTGCCTCAACTGGGCCACTGCTAGGGCCCAGCAGAACCTGTGGACAAAGCCTTGGACACGTGGAGAGCCACTGTCTCACACTGTGAGAGGCAAGGGGAGGGTAATCTCTTGTGTTCCTTTTTTCCACAGAAGTAGTCTCCCATCTTCTGTGCCTAACGGCTGGACCGCCTCTGCTCATGATGCCATGAGACCACAGGAGCTAGGGACACTGCCTAGGTGATGAACTAACTAGTCATCTCTGTCATTTTGATTAGCACATAGATTGGTATATATAATTTATCCTTCTCAGGTCCCTGGTCACCTTGATCAGCTTGACGGCTATGCTAAGTTAATGGTAGCTTTGCAGCTAAAGAGCAGACATTAGATCCACTGTCAGCTCATTGATCAGTTCCTAAGTTAGTTAGAACTACTAGGTACTAGATCTCTTATTTAGACAGGAAAACAGGTTTGCCATGCTCACAGGATTCATGTTAGTTGCCTGTGTCTTATGGTAAATAGCTAAATAAAAAGATACGGAGTTTATGTAGGCTCTGAGAATATAGGAGTTTAGGTTATAAAAATCTGGAGTGTTATTTGGTCTGGAAAAATGTTTCAGGGTTGACAAATGAAAGAATGATTAAAGAGTCTAAGTACGTGTTTTAAGGTATATAAAGATGAGTTCTAAAGATATAAGAATAATTTAAAGCATATTAAAAATGGGAAATACTTTAGATTTCTCCCACCTCTTTCCTACTGTTATGCTTATATCATAAGATTTCAGAAGTTCAGAGTTTTGGCATTCATCAATAGAGTTCTGATAAGTTGATGGAGCACTGACTACTTATTATTCAGTCACAAGCTTGCCTCTTGGTTGTCTTCTGGAGATAGACTTAAAGGTGCTTCTCGTCATGTTAAAAAACTGTTTACACATCTATTTAATGTGTACATCTGACCCAAAAGCCGTAGCCTTTACTATAGTGTTCTTAATATCTGCCATTTCTGAGGTAGACAGGATTTAGGAGTATCTTAAACATATTCCTTTTAGTTGCTTTGTTAAGGAAAGTCCAAGCATCCAGAGTTTAGCAATAAATGCATGAATGTATTTTTGCCAAACTTTCCAGGGTGAATATGGAGATGGGGGCAAAAAAGGAGATGCTGAGTATGCGAAAAATGACCAAGCTCCATTGGTGTCTGATTACCAACAGCTGTGCCCACAGAAAAACTGTTAAGAGTTCAAGACCATGGACACACTTAAGTTGTTTATAATTGTTGGGCTCTCACTGCTTTGGCGGTGGGGGGTGTGAGCCCAACCTGCAGCTTGTAATGATTTATACTAAAAAGATCCTCATATGGTTTGCAACAGACTCAGGTCCTGGTGGTAGTCTTTTGGGGTATTGAGATTCGGGCACAACAGTAGCCAGTGGTTATATAATACAGGAGCACACAGAGGCTCCATATGTCTCCCTTCTTCCCGTCGTAAGGCTCTCTCTGCACCAACTCAGGAGCATTAAAGGCCTTGGTCCCACACTGTCTTGTCAGTCCAGTGCCAGATCTAGTCTTGGTTGCAAGGCCAAAATCAATCACGTTCACATTGCCCTCTATATCTAGCAGGATGTTTGGGGGCTTTAAGTCGTGATGGACAATATCAAGATTGTGGAGTCCTCATGTCCTCAAGTATCTGATTGAATATTTCCTGCGTCTCCTCCTCCTGCAGCCTGCCATTCTCTTTTACCATCTGGAATAAGTTTCCTCCCGCAGCAAACTCGGTTATATACTGCACTTCTTTTTCTGTTATTATAACCTGGAAGACACGAATGATGTATGGCTGTTTTAGCATCTCCACTATCGCCTTCTCAGTGAAGATCCACCGCAGGTTCTTCTTGGTGTTCTTGACAGTTTTTATGGTCATCAGGGCACCCGTAAGCCTATGGTAGCCCAGCCTCACACAGCCAAAGGCACCCTGGACAATGGGCAAGAGCACCTGATACTGGCTTTTCAGGATTTTGCTTTCAGAACTCATGGCCATGAAGCTAGTTTGTCTGTATTAGCTCCTTCTGAGCACACAGGTTAGGAAATAAACTGTGCAACTAAATAACTGAGGTTCTCAATAGAACTACTAAACTAGCCAGCTGTGAAGGAGTCCCACAGGTCACCACAAACAGCTCCCTAGTCTGTAGGGACAAAAGCACAGCACAGCACAGCCTGATATGCAGGACACTCCTTCTTCCCTCACAGTGGCTCAGCGTGAGGTCAAGAGAAGAAAGGGACCAACCACAGCAGCTGTAGCCCATAGTAGCTGTCTCCACTTTGGGCCTCAGGCAGCTTTTCCCTTCTCATGAAACTGAGACTAGCCTCTGCTTGTTCAGCATTTCCAGCCTTCAAGTGGCCTAAGTCGCTGGATGCTGAGCACTTCAAGCCTTTTGTGGTTTTTCAAGCATGAGGTGCATTTTGAATCAGTGTCCTGCAGAGACAGAGGTTAAGTCATGAGGGGGCTTTACTAAAGCCATGTTTACGGTCTTCTGTTCTCGGGATCAGGAGGAACAAAGATCCACAGCACAATGAGCTCTGGGTCTGAAAGAATCAGACTAACTTTGTAACTTATGTTTCTTTTAATTGCTTTATTAAAAGGGGGAGGGCGTCATCAGGGCATAAGGAAATGGACCATGGACATTCCCAGAGGCAAAATGATGGAAGCAATTTCTCTGTTGAGTTTCCTCACCCCTTGGGACTTTGTGTCAAGCTGATGAAAAGCAGCCAGTACTCTTGCCTTCTCTCAGGCAGAGTCTATTTCCTTCCCACTCTGCAGACTGAGCAGTGGCTGTGTTCTCTAAGAAGTTGAGAGGCTCCATGATTTGATGTACATCTTATCTACACTGCATGTAATGAGCCTGTAAGACAGCAAAGCTTTCAGGAGCAAAGTTAAGAGACATTTTTGGTGACAGTGACTGGGCAAAACCCCTAAGACATTGAGAGCTTATAAGACAGCAAAGCTGTCAAGGATAGATAAGAAGACATTCGTAGTAATGGTAGCTAAGAACGCTCTTAAGGCAGCCAATGTGTGTTTGCGTGCGTGTGAAAGAATGATAAGTCAAAGCTATGCCCTGAAAAATGTATAAAATCTGGAGTCTGAGCCCACTCAGGCGCGGCAGGCTCATTACACTGCATCTCTCAGCATTCCCTTCCCCTGGCAGGAGGTGACTCTTAGGACACCCTCTGTGTCCTCCCCTACCCCTTCTAGCCAGCATTTGTCTTGATCACAAATGATCTTTTTGCACTTCAGCCTCTTCTCTTTCTGGTGTCTGGGCTTCCCAGATCTGAGCCTGCTTTGGGTACTGTGACAGGATCTTGGTTTGCTTAGGAGACAAACATCTGGGCATGTATCTGAGCGCGTTTCCATAGAGGTTTGTCTGAAGTAGTAACACCTGCCCTGAATGTTTTGCGTGGAACATTTCTTCAGGCTGAATTCCCAGCTGTATCAAAATGAGAAAACAAGTAGAGCCTCAGCATTCAGCTCTCTGGGTTCCTGATCATGGACACATTGTGGTCAGCTGCTCTTGACCCTGACAGCCTGCTCTCCATGCTATGATATACCATGCCATCAAAGTCTGAGCCAGGACAACCCTCCTGTAGGTTGCTTTCCTAAGTGTTTTTTCACAGGAAGAAGACAGATGTTGCCAACACCCACGCCAGTGTTGCCATAGTAGCATAAGCTACAGGGCGGGGGATATGATTTCTCCGGAAATTCGCCCCCTGGAAGGTCCCTGGCAAACTCATCCCACTTGGAAAAGAGACGTGTTCTGAGATTTCTACGCTTTTTCAGTTGTGGCTCTGGGGCTGGAATAATGAATTCTTTGATCTTTCTCTGTGACACCTGAAACAGCACAACTAACTTTATAAAGAAATTAATTATTAGTAGATTGTTAAAGGCTTTAATAAAAATAATAAGTTTAAGAAAAGTAATGAATTAGATTTAGTATTAACAGGCATTAAGAATAGGAAAAAAATAATAGGCTTCTTCTTAAGAAAAAATAGCATGAGCGGTGCAGCTGGCGGGAGTTTGTTTCCCCTCCCTTCAGTGCCTTGTTTCTAAGGAAGATTATAAATCTTTGGCAGGACATAAGGGAGGATAGTTGACAAAGGTGTGTTTAGACTTTGGCAGGTATTCGACTTGGCTCGGAGGACTATTACAGCTCCTGATTTTCCTCTTCACTAGTCAGTGATAATAAAACCATAGTACCATAGTTTGAGGTTTTTGTTTCTTGTTTGCATTGATCAGAAAGTTTCTAGGCAAAGATTTCTTGTGGGCACTGTCTATGTTAAAACATAAACTTTGTATCCTTGGTAAAAGTCTGAATGTTCTGGAAAGCATGCCAATTTTAAGGTGCTTCCTTGTGAGATCACTATAAAAATACTAGCTTGACTTCGGTAAAGTTGCAGCAGAGTCAAAACCATCAAGGTGTCTCTGTCTGTCAATTGTTCGCCGAAACCGTGTCTTCCTGTCCAAAGCCTTGTTCTCCCTCGGATGACGGGAGCCCGACTGGGCCGGTCAGTGGCAAGATGTCCTCATCAAAGCTGGAGTCATTCCTCATGTCCTATTTCCTTTCTCTTTTCCAGGTCACAAAGGAATTACCAATGCCTCCCTCACTGTCCTTCAAAGATACATACTTTTCCACTGCTTTTTCCTCCCTCCCCATCCTTATAGTGACCTGGAGGCAAATCTGCTCAAGGTCCTGACTTAGTTCCTCATGTGAGGAGGGCAACAGTGAAGGTAGTCAGATCTCTGGATGGATTCCCCCTTTAGCTTCTGTGTCTCTGTGCTTGAGGTTCTTACATGTGCTAAGCCCCTAAACAGGGAGGCCGCTGGCCCACTAGAGACTAGAGTTGAACACAACTAGTGAGCACTTTCCTAATTCTAGGATATCTACCAGTCAGATACTAAGTGTGAAACCTGGTCCTAAGAGAGATGAGGAAGACACAATGCTAGGCAGAAGGCAAGACTCAAAACAACCCCTCTTCAATAAGCTTTTTAATTGCAGCTATGAATGAGGTTCTGAGAAGTGATGAACCATTCTGCTGTCACAGGACTCTACAGAATCCCACTACTCTCCCATTAGTGCTGCTGTGCCTCTCAGTCACAGCCCTTTGAGAAGATGCAGAGCTCAGCACAGGTGGGAGGATGGGCGGAGCTCCAGCTGAGTCAATGAGGGCCATGGCACCTGGGCCCTTGTAAGCATCCTGGGGAAGCATCAGGAAGAGGACTGGTAGACAGAGGCCGATTTGTTCAAAACCCTGAAGATCTGGGTGAAGGCCTTGGATGTGTGTGTCCCTGATTCTGGATGTAAACATATGTGTGTGTCTTGTATATGTGGCCACTCCATGGGTCCAGACATCTGTGAACATGATAGAGGTATCAGAATGCTGAGAGCATCCCAGAGCTCCTGGCTTCCTGTGATGAAGACAACAGGGACTGATTGGTTCCAACCTCAGAACCCAGACAAGGTCTCAGAAGCACTAATCCCCACCAATCCTCCCCTAAGGGAATGTGTTGCCTAGAGGCTTCAAAGCAGGCAGAATCTTTCACTGTGGGCATGCTGAAGTCGTAGATGCTGCAGTTTGGACTATCTAAGCACAGTCTGTGAGGACCACCTTCTCACGCAAGGTAAAAGCAAAAGAAGGGATGAGACAAGAAGACAAGGTAGCTGATATCTGCGCTCACCACTTTAGGGATTCTTCTGTGTGCAACTGGGGTCGAGGTATCCTCAGAACCCAGGGCAAGAATGATGCCCTCAGGTCTCCCATCTGAGACAGCAGCATCTGAGAACAGGTGGAAGGCCATCCTTAGACAATGCTTTTCACACTTTTCTTCCCCTAGTTAGCCAAGGGCCCATACCAGGCAGAGAGGTAAATGCTGGCAGATGTTATGAAACAAAATGAACCTAACAGAGATCTACCCAGTTTCCACCCAAACACAAAAGAAAATACCTTCTTCTCAGCACCTCACAGAACCTTCCCCCAAATTCTCCATATATTGGGTCACAAAGAAAGCCTCAACAGATACAATAAAATTGAAATAACCCCTTGTATCTTATCAGAACACCATGGATTAAAACTGAACTTCAAGCACGGAAACAACAGAAAGAGTGCAAACTCCTGGAACATGAACAACTCTCTGCTCAATGACACTGGGTCAAGGAAGAATTAAGAAAGAAGTTCAACATTTTCTAAAATTCGGTGAATGTGATGGCACAACATAGCCAAGCTGATGGGACATAATGAAAGCACTTTTAAGATGAAACTTCATAGCACTAAGTGCCTTCATAAGGAAATTGATGAGATCCCATACTAACAACAACACACCTGGAATCTCTAGACCAAAAAGAAGCAATCACACCCAAGAGGGATAGATGGTCTGAAATAATCAAACCCAGGCTGAACTCAATACATTAGAAACAAAGAATCAACAAAACAAGAT